ACTCCCCCCCCCCCCCCAAAGAGCAGCTGTCTCTGCTAAAGCTTTTCTTTACTATAAAACTGCAAACTCTTAACAGCCCTGCTACTAGCAGAAACAGAACTCATTATCACCCAAACCTTAACACATTATCTCTAAGGAATGTAAAACCTGTTAAAGGAGTTGTTTGGGTCTGTTAAGGGCTGAGCACTTTGGGGATATATTTTATCCAACAGACAGCCCCAAACAGCAAAAGAGAATTATAAAAACTAGCCGTAGGATCCCAGACCCCCACTGAGCAACTGGTAGAAATAACTCTCAGTATTTTTAATGACCAAGACAGGACAGAGAAAGAGCAATAAAGTCATCCCATAGAAACAAACGGCTCAGCTTTAATCCATATGTCACTTTAAGGGCACCCAGATCCCGGAATACAAGGAACATCAAAGGTCTGGTGTTATTTCTACTGAAGAGGGACACTAGAGAAGGGAGTGCCCTGGGAAAGGGCTTACTCAAGGGCCAAGCCCCCTCTGTCACAAGGGGGTCTGTTTCAAGGGCTGGAGGGTCCCTCAGACCAGAACCTAACCATGCAATGGCCTTGAACTAACTGGGCCCAGCACTCCAGTCAGCCCCCACGAGCATCATCATTGAAGGGACGGAGCCAAGCGCGACCCTTGATGTGGCAGGTAAGCCTATCACATTTTTAGTAGCCATAGGGGACTGCTTGCTCTGCTCTGACCCACTCACCAGTACCTCCTTTTCCCCCAAGACCTATTTGATCACTGGGGGATTGAAATCCTCAATGCTACTCAACCCCTCAACTGCAGCCTCAAGAATCTGCAAGGAGGGAGGAATGCTGCCCCTCTGCTTGTAAAGGAAAGAATGTGGCAAGTTTGAAATCTAAGGGACTGGAGGCCTGGGAGCTGCGGTCCTGGGAACAAGCTGTGGGGCAAAAATCTGTAGATGGATTTGGACCTAATGCATGTCTTGTGATTTTTGGAGGTTTTTTCTTGAAAGTGAGAGTATGGCCCGGCTCAGCAGTTGATCATCAACCTAGGATCCAGGAGATCGGGGTTCAATTCCCAGTCAGGGCACATGCCCGGGTTTTGGGCTCTGTCCCCAATCAGGGGCGTGCAGGAGGCAGCCGATCAAATGACTCATCACTGATGTTTCTATCTCTCTCTCTTCCTCTCCCTTCTTCTCTCTGAAATCAATAAAGATATATTTAAAAAAAAAAAAAAGTAAATAACCAGTGTTCCTTAGATTGACATTTTTTAATACATTTTAAACATATTCTCACTTTTTTTCTTTTATTTATTAATTAATAGATCTTTATTGATTTCAGAGAGAGGAAAGGAGAGGGAGAGAGAGATAGAAGCATCAATGATGAGTCATTTGATCGGCTGCCTCCTGCACGTCCCTGACTGGGGACTGAGCCCACAACCCGGGCATGTGCCCTGACTGGGAATCGAACCCCAGTCTGGATCCTAGGTCAACGCTCAA